GAGTTAACTTCAAATATGATCGATTTTGTAAATTTTTCATGCATTTTCTTACAGCTTTTTGGGATCAAAATTTTGGATCGTTAAATTTTTATGTTATTTAAGGACAAACTAGTCTCATCAATCAACTCTGTTTTCACCAAGTGAATTTCTTGGTTACGAGAATTGTAATCCACGAAGACTGGACTTACAATTTTAATTATATTACACATGATTTATACTACACTGTTTTTTCCCCAAAAAATTGTTTGTAAAACATTCGTTTTACAAATAACATTTCAGAATTTGTTCAAGTTTATGACACTCCCAAACTGAAACATTACTTTAGCCTAATAAACTGTATATGAATTAAAAGAGTATTATTAAAAATTTAGAAAACTTCAAGACATTTCTACAAAGCATTACATTACAGCATGCTTCTACAAAGCATTATGGACTTAGAATCTCACAGTTGAAGTTTTCCATAATTTATACCAAATTTGTTACTGTTAAAATTTCTAAGGTCAATCCTAGGTTTTCAGGTTAATTCATTAATTAGCAAGACACTTCAATAAAAAAATGAGAAAAGTTATATTTTTTATTTCATGGTAAATATAATTTTGAATTCAATATTGTATTTGTAAATGTTTGAAAAATAATAGAAAATTGTCATGGGAAAGTTCATGTTGAAGGAAACTTCTTGTTGTACCTTTATATCATTCAGAATACTCTAAAACTTTAAGATTTTAATTAGGTAAATTGAATTAAATATAAATATAAAAATGAAATCGTCTTCACAGTAAAATTAAAGAAGATATTATTTCATGTAGCAGAAAACATAAACCTAACGAAAACAGAATTATTATTATTTTTCAAACAATAAATTCATTAGTTGGCACTGTGTCTACAGCACAAATCATGGAAATTCACATAAAAAGGAATACCTGATTATTAATATTCCCTAACACTAAGTTAAAACAAATAAATAAAAAAAAATTGTGTCCTTTCTCTGCAACCCAGCATTTTAAACAAATTACATAACAAATGAACAAAAAAAAAATTTTTTTTAATAAATATTATTTTGCAATCAGCAAATCTTTTGGTTTAAAAAGAAATTTTAAAATAATTTCAATTTACAAATTAGCACATATTTTACAACTTTACTATAATTTCCATTCAGTATTGACAGGAAATAAATTGTAAGACATCCAGAACTGCAGATCAAAAGTAAATATAAAAGTGTGAATTCATTTGTGAAGATATTTACAAAACAAAATGATTTATTTTAATTATTCAAAGTGCTTGTGGTTGTAAATTATGGGATAAATAATGCGTATTCATTATAATGTTTTTCTTATGTCTCGTTTCCCATCCAATCCAACTCGACACATCATTAACCTTTCAGTGGTCATGTGATATAGGATGCTAATTAGTCACTTGGGGTATTGTCCTAATCCGGAATTAAAAGAAAATTTTCAAAATGTTTTACAAATGCATTGATATTTTTTCTACATTAAATCTTTTTTAAGGTTTAAAAAGAAATATTGTATTATGGTATTCCTTATCATGAAGTAAAAGAAATCAAAGAAAACAGAATCTATATTTAAGGAATTTTGTTTAGAAATTCGTTTTGAGCTTTCTCTTAAACCAAATTATTATTTCTTTAAACGAAATGTAGTGGGCCCTAGATGTGTTATCGCTTACTTTTATTAATCTGTTTAACAGGTTATAGTATAAACTCACAATATTAATAATATTTTTAAATTCATAGAACAAACACTTATCTGCCGTTATTGTATTTTACTCTGTTCTGTTGGGCGAGTTGCAAACTATCTATTGAAAGTAGCTGTTGTATTATCTTGTGCAAGTAAGAGTGAGTGAGATTGATAGATAGCAAAGCAAAGATAGCAAATTTTTAATGCAGGAAGATCAATGAGTAAATTGTAGATTCCCCCCACTCTGATACAATCAAATTAGGTATGAATCTGGCAACTGTAGAAGAAATAATGACACCTTTGTTCTGTGTCTAAATTGCAATGTTCTCGGCCATATTTCTAGCACAGAGATTAGCATGAGGTAGAAAGAAAATTTCAGCCATTCAAAAATATCGGTCTGAATTGCCTGGCAAATTCGTAGTGAATGCCGAGAATACGAATGCAAATATAATTACGTACTGCAGATACATGGCCCGTATTACTTGTGATATTTTAACAATCTTCGCAGTTTATTATGTCAACATTTACAAGTTTTGCAATGAAGAATGGCAACGTAACAACACCAATTATTAATCTGCAAATATGACAAGACTGTAATGCAAACTCACAATGGTGCAGAACTTTCTAGTGATATTAGAAAGGGAATTACCATAATAACATCTTAGAAAGGTACCTGAAGTTTCAGTGAGACAAAAATGGTTCTTTTATCAGAAATGAGGTAAAAGAGAAGGTGGAGTACTGTAATACTCTGAACTATTTTATCACTGGATTTTATTAGACAATAATTAAGTATAATAATTAAGTATAATAATTACCGTATCTTCACGAATATACGTAGACTGAATTGGGACGAGACGACCCCCCAATTTTTAAAGAGGCCTCCTAAGAATTTTTTAAATTTTCAGCCAAAATAAAATTGCTAATCGCCTTACAGATTACAAAATTGTTTTTTTGATGAGAATGTTAAGATTTGTCAGACTTATTTCTGAACTATAATTTTCTAGTCCCTTAAAATAATAAACTACAGTTTTTGTCACTATCCATCATCATCTTCACATATATCAATATTTCTTTCTTTTTGGTCCTCCTTCCATGCTGCAACATCATCTGACTTTTTAGGCTCTTCTGAAAGTTTTGCAGACTAAATTGGCGTTGTTCATAGTCTTTCATCAGACGCCACTTAAGAACATTCCTTTCTATGTACCAGATTTTCTCTCTGTCCCACACTTGATCATGGCCTCTGTTTAACCATTCAAAGCACAGATTCACATTCGCCAGACATTGAACCAAAATTCCGCACGGAATCTTTGAACATGCTTCGGTTAATAAAATCTCAGCATTGATTTTTATGTTATGTTTCATTTGATACAATACCATTAGTTTTGAATTTCCCTCTTTTTTTTCAGGTCCATTCAAACATATCAGTCTGAATTGCCGATATTTTTAGTCTTCGCAGTTTATTGTTATGTCAACATTTACAAGTTTTGCAAGTAGAATGGCAATGTAAAAACTTAAACCATAACCAAATAGCAATTATCTGCAAATATAAGCAATTATCTGCAGCAAATAGCAATTATCTGCAAATATTTTTGCAACCATAAGCAAATAGCAATTATCTGCAAATATTTTTCAACCAAGATATTTCAGTACAAAATAGTACCAATATGTGGTTCTATTTTCTTGACTAAAACTGAGGAAATAATTATATTACTTTTTGTTTTTCTAATTAATAATTTGGAATTATCATTACTCTGTCTTTAAACGTTTCGTGAAATTTTATTACATTTTATCTTCCAAAAATGTCAACTAAATTATATAGATTCATAGAAATGACACAAAACGCGTTAACCAAGAAACCGTTGACACGAAACCTGACATTGAATGTCAACTAATATATAAATATTTCACAGATCAACAAGTGCATACACACAAAGGAAAGACATACAAGAGCACAATCAAGTATGTGTAAATTACATATACATACAAATGTATATATTAACTTGCAGACTTTTCTAAATACTGTTTTGAGTGTTGAAGGGTGTGCACAATATTTGTCATTAAAATCTGCCAAGCCATTTTATCATTATATGCATATGGTGTGTTCAAGAGATCAAGCAACTTAAATATATGGAGTTTATATTCTTGTCCTCCAAATGTACTGAGTACCTTCTGAAGCACAGTCAACATCCATCCTCCACCCCATATTGTCAGCTGCCTGCACAAGACAGGCCAAACCATAGATGGAGAATTGCATGCACTGGAATACCTGACCATCAAGAATACAAACAATTTGGCAGTCAATTACATCTGACCAATTCAGAGTCAAGTAAAGATAATATCACACATCTTTCACTGAGATTCTGTGTTTCAAAGTAAAATCTATATTTACATTCCGGTGTACACAGCTTCCTTTTGCGTCTATTCTTCTGCACGACATTTCATTTGAAAAGAAAAGTAATTTCAAGCATGAATTTTATAATGCATGCATTTACCTAGAAAATACTTCAAGAAAACTTTTCACTACATCCTCTCAGTTAGTTCTAATGATTACTTCATACGCCCATGCACAAACCACACATACCAAATTAATCAGTCAATTTACTTAAAACCTTCAAGAGCATGCTCCATGTTTCAGAGACAAGTTCTTTCACAGATAAGACTATCAAAACACTTTACCTCAAAAGGAATTTGTTTACGATCAAGTTCCAACCAAGAGATATTTCATTAAATCATTCAGCTCCGCCTGTAACTATTGCCCACTCTTCACAAAAAATTTGCTGACCATTAAAATAAAAAAAAAACTTGTTCTTGCAAAATGATGGTATTTTTCGGTAATTTAATGAAAAAGCAGACAGAATTCCACAAAATGCTGTTAAAAGTAGTGATGAACACACAATATTCCAATTATCAACAAGGACTGAAAATGAAGACTGTACCACACCAAATAAATTAATATTCACTGAGTGAAACACTGAGAATATAAAATTAGACCACAAAAACTGCAAAACTTGTAATTCAGAAGAACATATACTCAGAAAATATTATTTTGTTTTAATTTTCAAAAGACCTTTCAGTTTAACAATCATACGAAATTCTATAACAAATTATCAATTTAACAGTGACACAGTTAACAGTTCATAATACTGTAGTGCAGCTGATCACAATGAAAATCAAATAGTCTCAAAAACAACCTCCAAGAAACAACTTTGAATTACAATGACCTCAGCGAAAACCTACACAAATCCTAACAAATCACAAATCTAACCAACTTAGTTTACTAAGAAGAAAACTAAGTCTGCAGCAACGTACCCTGGGAGTTAGACATGAAGAGGTTGAGAAGGGAAGTGGTGCGGCGGGATGTTTTGCTTTCTTTTAGTTTCTGCCCACCAGACTCTAGATTACCTTCTTTTTTGGAAGGCTTATCACCATTTGTTGTTTTATCAGAGGATTCAGTTGTCTGGCTACCACTTGACGGTAGTTCTGACAATTTCAATTCTTCAAATTCAATTGTCCCTGAAAGTAAAGCATAAATAACATAAATGGAACTCATATAATAAATTTTTAAAGCAATAGCAACAGACAAAATAATATATTCAACAAAACACAAGAAATATGTAAATTGCGCCATAATAAATTAAAAATGGGAAATATATAACAATAAATTACATTATCACACAACATACAAAGTATTATTAGTCAACGTAACTATAACAAACAAAAATGGATTTTTTTTATAATTGTGTACAGAATTATGTGATTTAAGACACTTCAAGACAGAGGAATATGGAGAAAGAATATTATTCAATCACTGCTCAAGACCATGAATTGGTTATGGTTCTAAGTTATCCTAAAATCAGATGAAACAGTACATATGAGGATGTGACGAGTGGTAGAGGATAACACAGTGGTGGATCCATTGGGGAGTCATGGGTCTAATGTCCCCCCCCCCCTTCCTGTTAAAGACATTTTTTATAGACATACTTCATACATGGGAAATTATCTAATATTACATTCAATATCCCATTCTTTACCACAAAAAAATGCCTCGATTCACCCTTGGGTTGACAATGAAGAGGAGACACAAAAATGCATGTCAATAAGTCTGAGTTGGAACTGAAATTAAATATAATAATAAATCAATTCATATCAACACTTATCATAGCAATGGAGTGTAATAGGCATAAGAAGTCAAAACATGGGAACACTTGAGGGAGACTACCAGATAAATATGTAGAAGTGAAAACTACGGTAGGAATGATCTGGCAAGAAACGCTCAAAGCAATTCAAGAGAGAACATTATAGATATGTAGTCAGTAACATCACAAAAAATTGAGAATGGACAAAATGAAGAAGTGTATGGCAAAACCATGACCTTGTTTAAAAAATTACAAGCATCACCTGGGATGTGACCTTCAGGAAGTACCAAATACCTTGTTATTTTGACCATGTGCCTTCAAATTGGGAATTTGTTCAAGGAAGTCCTTGAAGTTAATAATAAAAACCAATCGGAATAGTTACAGTGAGCTGAAATAAATTATCAACCAGCCAATGCCCTTAGTACTCTAACTAAAATATCAAAACCAGATATAAATATGTCATACACTAAATAAATACTTATACCTTAAAATTTCATTGTTATTTCTGAGACATACAAAATATTAAAAAATTACATTAAACTGAAAATTTGTGTCACCTAACCTGTTCATTATTCATTAAAAATCTTAACAATTCGTCAGCATTTTTCAGTACTTTACAATATCACATATCAAACCAATTTCTTCAATAGCACAATAGCCAATTTCTTCTTCTTTCAATAGCACACAATGTGCTTTTAAAAGACCAGAATATTTTTAAAATATGAAAAGTTTTTAAATTTTTGGAATACTTTTCTGAGATGACACTAATACAAGACATAGATCACACTTCATTAGCATTCAAAAAAATCATTATTTCTTAGTCCTATTTAGGGAGAGAATCCTTCCAAAAGGGTATACAAATATTCTACAATTTTTGAGTTTTCTTCAGATCCCTAGAAAATAATGATCATTAACAGATCAAATGAAAAATATGACTAAAATATTATAAATTTTAAACAAAATAAGAGGGAATTATTTTTCTCAAAATTTAACCTATTTCTGATTACATCCATATTTCTTTTTTCATAGTGCAACATAACAACATAACCCTTTTTACTCCTTGCAAGTGAACATAATCTTTTTAAACTATAAAATCATCACCATCACAATTTCCATCACAATAACCAAGAAATTCATACCTTTTTTTCCCACACCTAGCAGCATTAAACAATTATATTTAACATTTGACATTTTACAGAGAAAACAAAAGAGGCCAATTTTGAAATTTCACAAAGGATTATCTGATTTCCAGAGACAAGATTGTTACTAATTACAAATCTACAGTTTTGTAGAAAGTTTTAAGAAATAAAAACACCAGTAATTTACCTGGTTTCTCCAATCCTGTATATTTGCTCAACACAAACTGCTCCAGAAGTTTGTCAACTGTTAAATCCAAACATGCTCGCTTAAATTCAACAAGGACCTGTAATCATTGGCACAATTATAATAAACTCTAATCTTACACACATCTCTACATAGCACACTACTGTATATATCAAAGTGGTCATAATGACCAACCTCAGTCCTAAAAGCCTGGGAACAAAGAGGGGTAGCTATTTTGATCAAGAATAACATACCTTACTATTAAATTCCTTCTCTGCCTGCAACCATACACGAAAAAGTTATTATCATTCTCAAAACTGATAATACTTCTTCCCTACATGTCAATCTAAGTACAATTAACACAAAAACTTCTATTTGAGCCATTATTTCACACTTTTGTCATGCCATTGCAACCCACTAATGAGGTATGTAACATTGATTCTAAAGGAATAAGAGTTATAATAATTACGTAAACTACGTTTGAATTTTAAGACTAATTAACTATCTAATTTAAAACTTTTTCCTCATTATTAACTGAATTCATGCAGTTATATATGACATCTGAATATTCTATGCTTCACCATAATTTTGACTTGGATTTTAACTCTAAAGGTTCACACTCTCTTCCCATACTTCATTCTGTTCCATATTGTCTTGCTCCTTACTCTACAGTGAAATTCATTTATCTTAAAACGCTCATTTTTCCCCCTTGTTTCAAGATTAGCTTCAGATATTAGATTTTGATATAAATTTCTTACTATGCGCCCTCCAAATACAAACGGAAAGAGCAAGATTACTATTTCATACATACTATATTGCACGAGATCAGATATTGATCAGAGGATATTGTTAACTCATTAACAATTTGACAATAGGGGCAAGTCATCAAACATCCATTTATAAAATTGTTTCTCTCTAGAAATTAGTCCCAATACTTTGCAATTAATATACACAAATTAAAGTTTTCCATCATAACTTTTAGACATCAAATATAAACTTTCATACAGTTTGGTTGTCTCTCATCATGATAAACTTTCAAGAACTTGGGCTCCTTCAGGTTTACTGAGCATATTATAGGAGCTCATTTATGATATCTCATCTGCGTAATCTCACTTACAAACATTAGATATATGTATTAAAATCGTTACAGTAGAAGTAGTTGTACTGCATTTTACACCATTAGGCATGTCTCACATCCGTTTCCATTTAAGTCTGTCACTGCAGTTAATACATACTCTTCTAGCCATCATCTTCTCCACTCCTTCCTTCTACATACTTCTGTGTGAAACTGGTTGTCAATTCCAGAGCTTTCTTCACCCATTCTGTTTTAATGACCATACTATTTACATCTAAATTTCAATGTAAGATAATGGTTTTTATAATGTTGTATTGTGATGTTTTAATAATATTGAGACTCACTTCTGCTTTTCTTCAAATTTCATCATTAATTTGTTCAACAATGTCAATCCACAACTTTTTCACCAATAGTCTATTTCCACAGCTGTAAGTTTGTTCTCAGTATCTTTGGATATTTCCAAACTTCGGGCCCTTTATGTAACAATACTCTCTACGATAGTCGTATAAAATCTTCCCTTAACACATTTCCTCAGAGTTGGGTTCAATATTACAGAATGCAATGTCTCATAGCTACTTTCCACTTTGATATTCTACTACAAATATCTTGGGTACTATTACCATTTGCTGCTACTTAGTACCTAGACATGTAACATTCTGTTAGGATTCCAATTCTGATCAGTCATTTATACACCAGTCTTAACTTATCCTCCTACAACCAATTTTGTTTTATTAAAATTTCTTTCAAGCCCCCAATTCAATTACAATTCGTGGAGTTTTCACAGCAGAAACAAAATATCTTCCTCCTCAGAATGGAGTTGTAAATTTATTACAGGAGTCTTAACAATTATTATTTATGTGTTCATGTACTTATTAATGGCAGCTGTAGAAGAGCTGATTTGAACATTTCATATCATTTGTACAATATTCTTTGTGTATGTTCATACAATGTCTATCTTGAACAAATACAGTTACAATATCATACAATAATATCATTAAAACATTGTTGGAACTGAGACCTGTAGGTCACTAACATTGATTTAATTAAGAGAGGCCCAGCTGCTTTCACAGTAAGAAATGCTCCATTTTGCAACAGCAATTTCACTGTCTCACTTGAAACCACTTCATGTATTTAGCAATGAGTGTAGAGTGAGTTTTTGTACAGCCAATTATTCCAAAACATTAAGGAGTGAAATGTATAGAGAACAAGAACAAATATATACCTTCTTGGCTTTCTCATAGAACAACAAGAAAATGACTTTGTCATAGTACATTAAGCATGAGGGGAGGTTAGAAATTTTTTTGTTCAGAACACTAGTCAAATGTTTCATTATATCAGCAAGTAAGTCGCCTATGTACACATACCTCTTCGTGTGTATGTGTTTATCTTCAATGGCAGTTTCTACAATGGATTTTGTGTGCAATTACAGATTTTGAGAAAAAGTTTTGAGTATTGAGGGATGGTCCTTTGTATCAGCACATTCTTGCCTGAAGTTGCGCAAGAATGATACAATTTTAATTTGTCTTAAGTGTCGCAAATAGTTTATGGAAGGCTTCTGAATTAGTTTTGCCCAAACACAAAAATGTTGCCCACCGCTTGCCTGAACCTTATCTGTTTCGTCAATGTTTTCTGGTTTCCTCTACTTTGAATTTAGCAGTCTGTGATACTAATGTTGTTACATAACATTTATCATTATAAAAAACAGTTCTAGGTAAAAGAAAGCATCATAATAACACCTTAAGTCCTTTCTGTCCTAACAGCACTGTAAATTCCATAATTTCCAGACAATCCCAGTGTGTCTGTATTAAGGATATAACGCGTAACAATACGTGACATTTTTAAAAACCATAACCATTATCATACTACTTTCTGTGAATAGCCCATAACATATTGTCACAAACCTCATTCTCTTCCCCCACCTGGATAGTCTCCAATCAAATGCACTCTTTATTTCATAAAGGCACATTTATTATTTGTGTGCTTTATAAACCATTTCCCTGTGTGCTCTCTGAAATATTTTCTGTTCTTTGATTACCTTGCATTTTCCATGCTTTTCCAGAAACTGGACACTGCTAAAAATTACTTAGTGCTAAACTGGATCAATTTATTTATGTCAATGACAAAAAATCTTGCTGCAAGCCACACGATTGTGCCTGTTTCATTAAATCTATCTCAATTACAGTAAAACCTGTTCAAATGGCCATCTCCACTAACAGCCATTTTTTTATGAAACAGTTTGATTTTTCCATATAATGCATGTAAATATTCCCTCTGAAGAGACCACCCGGCCCCCTAGCCAGCAGCAATGCACTTATCACAGATGGACCTCTATTAAGTGATCACCTCTAGGAATATTGAACTGCAGAACATAAATACAAAGTGAGAAACTGGTGGAGATGTTGATTCAATATCTTGCTGTGACAAATCAAACTACTTAGAACAATGACATCTAGAATCATGTACTTTGCACAGGGATATTGCGCTAGCATTAATTATTGTTAAGCAATATGTAATAATACTGTTTCACAAAACAAAAGATTTTAAAATATGGGCCTTTAAGAAATAGTTTGCTTTCCACATTCTGCCGCACTCTCGTAAACTCTGCTAACCCTTGCTATCTTTCCATGGCAACTTTCCCAGAGCTTGCAGAGCAAACCACATGCATGAAACTTCTGAACTGGCTCACCACCTGCTCTTTCAACACACACTTTTATTCTAAGGTTTTTATGGAATGTGGATAGCATCTTCAAGTTTATTTTGCTTAGGGCTAAGTTCGATGAAATTGTAAAGTGAATTTCTCAAATTAGAGAATGAGTGAAAATTTAGGGTGTGTTTGGCACACATGGTAATGATCCTAGATCCTTTGTTTAAGTTCATTAAGAAAATATATATATTTTATATATTTATTGATTTATTTAATAAGTATATTTCTTCCATAGCAACGAAGACAATTAGATCTGATATACACTTCCCGTATCCTCGTAAACTTGATTAGGCAGCCACTTCTACTAACAACCAATTTTCACCAGAACCATTTGTAACAGTTTAAGACTATTTTCGGTTTTACTGTATTTTAGAACCCAGTAAGTTCTGCAAGTGTCTCTCATGAGTAATACACTATCATATTACTCCATATTTGGATATTAACTGATATGGTACAATATGAATAAATGGCTGACTAATTAAATACAAAATTTACAGTAACACTGACATTTTCATCACCTAATAGCCGATTTCATGCATTTACAATTCTTGACCATCAAAAACTTTGCAACTTCAGTTTAGAGACTGCTAATCACATTTTTACCAATACGTAATACATAAAAATTCAAATTACATACTGAAGCTGAAACAAAATCAGGGGATCATTTTCATATTATAAGTTCTTTTAGAATAACGTTTGCCGATTGTTAGAGCTTTCACATGATTTTAATTTCATGAAATATAATAGGAGCTGCAAAAGTTTTTGTCAGAAGAGTTTTCTCCTAATTGTCTCTTAGATGAATATTAATATAATGCCATAGACGTTTGTGTAATTAACAATGAAATGAAACAAAACAATATTTGTCTCAAATATTTTTAATAACTCTACAGTTTCATCAATGTAAAACCCAATTCATCTTGTTATTTCAATATGTATAAGGGCCAACTGTGGCAAAAACAGTCAACAAAAGTGGGTGAAAAGAAGAAATCTATGCAATTACTACATTAATTGTTTATATTTTACACAAGTATTTCAAAATCATAATAAGAACTAAGAAATATTGGTGGGGTGGGGGATTCTACTTTACAACTGTAACAAGAAGTTAAAATGACAAAATAGGCTTACCTGTCCGATTTGTTCATGATTATTTTGAATAATTTCTGCATAGGTATTGAGAAATTCTTTCATTTGTTTCAGGTGCAATTCTTCAACAGTCTGAAAGTGCTGCAAAGGATTTATTGGAACACTGTAAGAATATTTAATTTTCATGCTTGTTTATAATTAAATTGCAACAAATGAATTGGCACAACATACAACCTACACAATGTACAATAATTGTGAATGTAAAAAAATCTCAAATTGTAGAACTACCATTTTTCATAAACTTGCTTTATTTTTAATGGGATATTGATGCTTATACAAAAGCAGTGTTTGTACTTGTATTTAATTACCATTTGTACTGATCTATCTTCTCCTGCAATGCAAATTGAATGAAAAGCTCTCATGCTTTCTTGATTAATTACTGTTTGCGGACATGTCAACTATTACAGTCATTATTCCTGTTAAGTGTTGTGTAAATTACGTTCCAGTAGGTGGTGGCATTCCTTCGTCTGCTGAAACCCGGAAAACTGAGATCTGACACCAGCCTATAAATTGGTTTGCAGGGTTAACCCCCCTCCCCCCCTCCTTGCATCTCATCCAGCAAGGCTCTGTCCTAGTCGGGTATATAACAACTGATTTCCAGTGTACAGTCAAATTATTTTAGCATGGCCGCTGAAGGTCAAAGGCTCAGAGCTGCCAGAAGAGTCCATTTCTCAAACTGCTCAGTTAAGGGGGGACTGCGTTACCCCCAGCACAAGTTGACAGCCCCTACCCCAGTTGTGTAACCATTGGCACTGAATTTTCACCTCTGCAAGGTGCAAGCTTTCAGTTGTGTTTCCCCACTACAGTGAAGCATTTGTATGTGGTTTGTGTGAAGTTCTGTTCATGTTATTATTGTTCTGTATGTGATTATTTCAATCGTCAAGGAAGTCATTCACAGTCAGACGCATGAAGTCATTGCACACGTATATAATTTATGATGAGAGGATCAAGAGAAGGTATTAAAAATGTTAAAGCAGTTCATAAGGGATTGGCTGCTGCTACAGGTGTTTTGAAAAAATCTATTCCCAGAATTAATAAAGAAACGAATTCTACTGAATTGTGAGAGTCTTATTCATCTTCAACTCCTAATAAAGAGAGGAAAAACAGTGAAATCTCCTCTCATCAGTTTCAATGAGAGAGTGATTCATCGTAACTATACCTACTAGTGTCTCTAAAACCTATCTGACTTAAGAAAACAATTTGTTAACATAATTCAATAAATCTTCACAACTTGTTAAAGTATTTGATTTTTTGTCATATGCTCCCTTACTTCACATACCTTGTCATGAAAAAATTGCAAATCTTTAGTCAAAGAGATATAATTCATCTATGAAATTAAACCTTTTAACATAACAAGCTCTTTCTGATATATCACAAGCAGTAGCTGGCCTGGTGGTTAAGGTTGCTATGACATGAGTGTAGTGAAGAGCTTGGTTTGGCCGGATGGCAGACTTGAGTCCCACATAGGCATGGTTGTAGCTTTCTGTGTAGTGGCATACAGGGTCTTTAGTTTAACTTGTAACCCATGTTCAGGATCAACTCCCTTTGTTTTGGCAATATGACACTGGGTGAAACACCTTTGACATTCCTTTCACCTTTAGCGATACCCGGACACCTGCTCTCAGATTTGGTCCTGGGAGAATGTGGTTAGTTTTAGTTGGAAGGAAGAGGGAGCACTTGTCCCTGTTACTCTTCAACATGTTGCAGCCACTACATTGAAAAGAGTAAATGTCTATCTCTTGGCAATGGCAATCACTTTGAGCATTTACTTGAAGGTACGTTTATTGTCATTTTAAGGAAATAATATTTTATAAATTATTTTCAATAATTATTAATTTACTACTTATCAATACTTGATTAGTAAGATTTTCTTACATGTTTAATATGCAGATTCCATACTAATAATAATAAACAAATTAACAACATTATAAATAATGAAGAGCTTGGTGGTAATGTTTTAAGAGATATCCTTCTGATTTCTCTCTGAGCTGGCATTTATTACATAATTATTATTACGTTGCTATTAATAAATCAGTCATAACTTCCCTCCAAATCTTCAGTATTACAATTTTGTTTTTTAAACATACTTGACAGAATTGGCTAAGGAGACGATTTGTTTGCCTGCTCTGCCTCTGCCCCCCTCCCCCACCATGCTCAGCATTGGAAAGATTTTGGCACGACTTGCCCGCCTTAACTCTTGAATGGGAAAAACACAGAAACAGGAAACCTGCTGGAGCTTATGACTTGACATTCACCCCATCCTTTGTTGACTTGATGTGCCGACCACAGCTGCCATGAAAGGAGGCAAAGACACAGCAGCCAAATTGCCAAAACAAGAACAAGTGCTCCTTGACATGGGTTGCGAGTTAAACTAAACATCCAGTAATTAGAGCTTTTTCAAACCACCACGTGTCACCTAAGAAAGAACCTTTCCTTCACATCCCTTGCCCTAATTAGGAGATGGTAGGGTGATTTAGTCTGCTTGCAGGCAGGGCAGTAATGCATTGTCAACAAGTCTACCAACCATGACTTGCATTCCACCTGTCAGGAACCTTTCTTCTCTAACTCTAATCAATTCCAAACATCGTTACAGGCATACATAGGTGGCTGCCTATGTACAAAGCCACTATGGGTCTATGGAACTAACGACGTGAAGGAAAGGGAAACTGATATGTGTGCATCACAGTGTCAATAGGCAGTGACAGAACTGACGGCAGGGGACCTCAGTACTTTTTGACAGATGAACAATGTTAAGCTAAAGGGGATGATGATATTAAAAGCAGTAATTCATATTTTACTATTTCCTTTCCTTTATAAAAAGTATGATACACATAAAAATTTTGGATGTCCATTAGCCAAAACAATTTTCAAAGCATTGGATGTGTGACCCTTACAATCAACAGAAAACATTTACACAATAATCATTTGTTACAAATCTACACCTCAGCACATTGTCACAGCCTTGGCCATATGGTTGTTGGTGCCACTTAAAGGACCAAATTAAATTATACACAAAACAAAAAAGTCACTTTTAAAAAGGATGTTTATGGTATAAAGAGACAACAATACAAAGAATAATAAAATAAAAATGATACTGAAAACATACTTTGCATGCTGATGACATTCTCTTTTCAAATTCCACCTTTATAGTGCGATATTTTTCCACCAAATTTTTATAATCTTCCTGTGCTTTCTTTAACTTCATTTCAGCCTTTTCAGATTCCTTGGGTGAAGAAGTTTCTTTCCGCATTTTGTCATACTCTAAAATGCGCTGATTGTACGTATCTTTTGCTTTTTGAAGCGTTAGTGTAGTTGCCTGAATAGCTTGAACCACTTCGAGAGTGCCAGCTTCCTCCTCCTTCACCTGAAACCCAATTTAAAATTCAGTCTTCCTTTTTAAGATTGAAACATGGGTAAAAGGATGTTTAATACGGTTAAAGTAGGAATAAGGTTTATTTCAGCGTAAGTGTTTCATTGCTTTTCTCCAGCAGTACCATGATTTTTTTTTTATTATTATTAAGCTTTGTAGGATAGGAACCACCGGAGGTAACTATTTTGCAGCCGGGTTACTAGGGTCTGCTACTAGACAGTGCTTCTTGGACCATAAAGTGAAAGCAACAGTAATGAGAAGGATGATAGGTGAAATTACAGAGATGGATGATGATGGTGATGGTGACAATGATGACCATGACGATAGGAGGCAAGGGCAGGAGACAACGACACAAGATGGAGATGAGAGAGATGGTGGGATGCAAGGTAGGACACATTGGAGGACCGCAAGAAAACAAGCTGCAAACGTCTTTTATTCACCACAATTACCACATGGAGTGACCAGGACTTAACCCTGGAGGAAGGTGATTGAACTGACCACTACAATACAGACTTCCTCCAACTATATAATTAAAGGGCAATATAATAATATCTATGAGAGGCAGGAAATTAAATAGCTTTTTTCTCAAATTTAAATAAATGATGAGCTTTGAAGAAAATTCATATTGTTTGTAATTCAACAGCTGTTTGTGTGGGAAGAAAGAACACTGTCCTTATTGAAGAGAAAAAGGATAAGTTTTCAATTATATAGAGAATTCATACAATTATTCACGAAGAGTTTTTGTACAAGATAGTCTATACACAAGAAAAAGCTATAAATTTTTTTCGAAGTGAAATGTTCAGTATAGCCAAATACTAAAGAAGCTTGAGTTTCTCATTACAATTTGTTTTCTTTTTGAATTTGTATTACTGAAAGTCATTGTATATATTACAATACATAGAAATACAAAAATAAAATATGTAACCTCTTCAACGGTACTTGGAATAACATTTTCTTGACTTTTAAGACGTCCTACTACCATTTTATATCTGTGGCAATGACACAACAATTACATTGCAATTGCACTTTATTTAAAATGTCTTGCTTAACTTTCACAATCAATCAAACAAGAATAAATTGTAATCTAAACTAAAATGTGTACCACACTCACAATCATTGACATTACCTGTCTGTGTTTCTTGTGGAGTTCTTCACCATACTTGCTAACTTCCTTCACAAGTTCCAGAACTTTCTGAACCATCTGCATGTGCAGATTGGACAGTTTTTCAATTGATGTCCGGACAACAAGCCAGAATGGAGCAAATGTGCCTTGCACACAGCTTGCACCAACTTGCTTTGCAAGTTTGGTGAGAAGCTTTGAATTGTTTTCTTCTATGTTGCATCTTAAGGAAAAAAGAAAGAAAGAAAGATATTTAATTGAATGAAATTAAAAGCTATTGAAATATGTGGTTGCTGATAACTGGAACCCATTCAATCAACTGTATAACGGCAAATAGAGAAATCTTGCTTGTTTCAAATAAATTGTGGTATTAACTGACTTTGCATTAATTAAAAGATTAGTTACTACACAGCAGAAAAATTTCTATTCAGCCAAGAAAACAGTCAATCAACTTAATGTTTCTGAAAGCATTCAACTAATTTTAATACCATACTTTTAAAACAAAATCTGAACTGTTAATTTCAATCGTGATATGATTATATTTGGAAAAATGCTTTCTCCAGAAACTTCATATCCGAAGAGATAAATCACCTTTTGAAATATGTTCAGTATCGCATGAATAGGAACATCAATACTTGAAAATTAATTATGATTATTAAGAACAAAAAGAAAATGCACCCTATTTCCGTAAAAAAAATTAATATAGTTCAGTTTAGTTCAAGGAACTTCCACTTTTACCATTTACCCACTTACCCTACCACATTTACCATTTATACACTGCATGTAAATTTTTAAGGAACTTGAAAATTTGAACATTCCGTATCATTAAAACCACACAATGTTCAAAAGTTATCCAACATTAATTCTCACATTTATTAATAAAATAATATTTGATTTAGTCAGGTAAGTTTGCAGTAAAATATTGATACAAATTGTGGAACTTATTTTTGATATAAACTAGGATTAAAGGGAGACCTTGAGTAGGTACAAGCAAAACTTTATCAATTTTGAGAAAATGAAGTTGGAAGTTTATGAGTTGTATGCAATTTGGATAAATTTTTCATTGTTTACTTTAAAATCTCAGCACTTATGTTTTCACTTACAATCCTTAACCCCAACAATTTTAGACACATTACCTATTTCTGCACTCAATTTTGTTTTCAGCCCAAGTGCACTTCTCCCCTGTGGTCTCTTGAAATTTTATTTAATAATATTATATTATTTATTAATTTGATTTGTTCCTATTAATATATGAGCAATTATTGCAAAGCTTTAATAAGATTCAGTAACATATTATTAAGGTTTTCAATTTTACACTTAATCTTCACTATGTTTTCATGACTATTCTTATTTTTATATGAAAAGTTCTTTTGAAACTAGTTTCTAGTTGTTGAAAGTTCTGCTTGACTCACACATCAAAACTACAACACAGATAAGTGCACAAAATGTATTAGTGAAAGGCTACAACATTCCTAACAATATGATTCTATTAGACAAAATTAAACATCACTTAATTGCTCAAATCATGAACTGGCCTCTGAAGGTACTCCAGATTTTTTTGTGCACAGAACTTTCTAGACCAATTAATTAGTAATTCATGAAAGTTCTAGTACAAATAGAATAAAAAAGAACCACAAATATTAAGTATAATGAGGAAAACATTGAAACAAATGCAAAAGTTAAAAGAACCTACACATTTTAAATAATTAGTGTGGAATAGAAAAAAACTGATTTTATAGGGGCACTGAATTGAATGACAAAGTTTCAATAAATATGACAAAAGTAATATTCTGTGTCAGACGACATCCACTGAACTGAAAATTCACCATATTAAATCTAAAAAGGTTGGCAAGCCTCAATTTTAGTCTGTAATAAAATTTTCCTCGAAGAAATTAGACCCCAATTTTCAGCAGAAACTCAAATATATAGGTTAATTGAAAAAGATGTAATATCCAAATATCTGGTATATTCTATTTACTATGTTAATGTCGGTGGTAATTATTGTTTATAAATTAAGTCATTTAAAATAATACAGACAATTATTGAACTATAAATGTAGACTAAATTACTTAACATTCAAATTTGGAGAAGTTTAGCTCAATGCACAGAAAATTTTCATTTGAAGTTTAAATTAATCTAGACTATCTTATTTAGGTTATGCCCTTCTCAATAGATCTGGTGACATATATGCCAAGTAACTAGACACTTTCTAGCTACAATTATTCAAAAACCAATACTTCAAAACTTCATAGAAGGATGAGAAAAGTATCAACATGTCACAATGATTTTCATTTGCTATTCTAATCATTCTCCATACAGAAGCATAGAAACAAAAATTTTTGCAAAGGGAATAACTGCAGTCAATACAGCATTCCAATTTCGTTAAGTTGATCTTCCAAATGTTTTTTCAGTCAGTCCAATTTATATTTCAATCAATTAATAATTTTATAAAAAAGACAATTAATAAAACTTAAATTAATAATTTTCCGATGTAGATATACTTGCAAAAATATTGAGGAATTTTATAACTTGAGAGGGCAATCTACTTAAGACAAAATCGTTTTTCAATTTCACTTTAAATTTAAACAAAAATTGAAATTAAACCATAATTCTAGATGAAGATATATCAGCTCAAACTATTTTTCCGACAAAAGCGGCAACTTTTCATCATGAAGTCGTTCATTATTTTCGCACCCCAATCTACTTTTACTTGAGCGACATGTTTATAAATTTTCATTCTTAGAATAGTAATTATATTTCTATTGCAAAATATTGACTATAAAGGAAACTGAGGGGAAAGTCAGAAAAGGGGAGAAGATTAAGCTTCTCTGAATTACTGGCCAAGTAATGTATTCACATCCATGATCAATTTAAAAAATAAATTAAGTTTGTTCAGCTACAATATTTTGTTGACTTAATGATTACCTTTAGCAAAGTAACCATTGTATTTTTATGAACATCGTGATTAAATCATTCGTAAATTATTCAATGTTACAATTAAAATTATTTTGCAACATTTCTTTACTCTATTTTAATTTGCAATATTCAAAACATACATACATTGCAGAAGTTTCGTGCACACCATTAATATAAATATTCAATCAATAAAGGCAAAACATTAATTTGAGGTACAGGTTTGCCTCCATAAAGGAAATCTCTTTTTCATTCACAAAATTAGAAGTTAATCATAAATATATTGAAGCTTCAATGAAAGAGAGAAAAAAACTTCAATATTCAAAAAACTTCAATTTTCTCTTTTAAAATGTAATTGTCAAAATTGATTATAATTAAGGTTTTCAACAAACGAATATAGTACTTAATTCCATTCAAATTATTATTATTAATAAGAAGAAGAATTTTCATAAATACAACTTACATGCATTGCCAAAGTAAAATACTAAAGGACACAAACCATATCATATACATGCATAAACGTCTACACAGATTCAAAGATGACAATTTAAAAAATTTAACCAGAGGCAAAATAAAAGAAATTATGAAATGATGAAAGCATAATACTTTCGAAAAATCCTACATTTCCAAAATATATGCACAATATGTGACATAACTGAAAATAAATAATTAGAAAACACTGCTACAAAACAACTAATTCTGAAAGAAAACATGTAATTTTTGCCAAATTTAATGCCTCATTACAATCCATAACAAAATTCATATATATTAGAGTTGCACATCATTTATGCCAAGCATAACAAGTTCAAAACAAAAATTGACAGACTAATGAAGGGTACACGGAAAAAATGTTCAGGGACCAAAATAACAAATTTCCAAGAATGTGTATTTCACGTTTGAAATGCTATATATTGCAAATCGGTTTACTAAACTTTATCATGTACTCTTTTTTATCATCACCATTATTACTGATATAAACTAAAAATTAATTTCCAATGGTTATTGATCGAGAGGGCACTTACTTCCAGCTCTTGATAGTTCTATCTCTGTGCCCTTCAATGAGTTTTAGATATCACAATCATACTACCCCTGAAAAGTACAGTAATAGAACACGAGAAGAAGTGTTATATGATCTCTTCTGCTGGTCAAGGAAACACGCATTTTTAAAAACTTTTACTTTTAAAATAAATTATAAATAATAGTAATAAAATTTTAGTTCTTAAACAAAAAAATAATAAATGTTTACAAGGCTTCTTCAGAAATGTTGAGCACATACTACAATAATAAACATTGCAAATAATAGCTACCTTTCTCGTAAGAAGTCTGCTAATTCTTTACTGGCCACAACACCAAATTTCATGTTATGATATAATACATCAAAGCCATTGTTCTTTTCTCCCTGTAAAAAAAAAGAGTAATTCAAACATCATGATTAACGGTAATTCCAGTCACAGCTACAACACATTGTTTAGCAGACATAACAGATATATTCATTGGTCCTCATAGACTCCCTATCCTGAGACTGAGCTTGCCTGCCTAAGACCAACTTACCCAATCTACCAGATATCATCAATACTAATATAGAGTAGTAATAATAATAATAATAATAACAATAACAACAACTGATACAGTTTTTATCATTGGTACCCAAAAGAATTCGCATCATAAAAAACAAACTATCAACACAAAAAATGAACCAACAAACTAAGCTCCAGCTACAACAAAGAATTATTTGATAATTGTTAAATGAAGTAATAATAAAAAATTTGTTCTTCATCCTGTTGCATTTGTTAGTTCTTACAATCCAACATATTGGTTTCGCTTTCCCCCATTTTTCATTCATGACTACCTGTTAAATTGTGTAACATATGCAATATTTCTAATTGTGCAAATTTTCAGTTACTTTATTTTTATACCTTTTCTCAAGGGCATTTAAAAACAGGAATTGAATTGAAATTGAATTGCCATTACTTCGCTATTTATAAGACTAAAAATGGTAGTTGCGTATCACATAATGGAACATGAATTTAACAATGGGTGTAACTGAATTTTCATTTGTATTTTCTTTATTTCTAAGCTTTTTTCAAAGTATATTTAAAAAAAATAATGTTCAGAAAAAAAGAGAAACAGAAAAAAAAGGAAAGAAAGAAGAGGTATATTGTATTGAAATACAACATTCCATCAGACAATGTTAAAAATCACTGAATTAAAAACAGAAAAAGGTTATACTGTACTGCAACAACCAAATTCCATCAATTAATGTTTAAATATCACTATGGTATACATATATTTGTCAACATTATATAAAAACTATATTCATAATGAATTGTATTCTGTTTTTTGTCACTAATTTGTTTTTAAACGGTTTTTCATAATGAACCTGCAGTTAATGTTTACTGTCACTCACAACCAAGAATGCCTTCCATGTTGTTGTTTTTTTCATCGATAGTTACTGTTCCTCATTGTTAAGTCCAAATTTTAACATGTTTTTGAATATTTAATAAACTTGGTTTAGGTATGTAGTTGCTGTCTATGGGATTATATAATATTGAGGCTGTTCATGTTGATATTTATTCCAGTACCCGAAGAGGTACCTGAATTAAGCACCCCAAAACAATATAAAAAACACCCTGGTGTTGCAATTTGACTTGCCCTCTCATGATCCTTAATTTCCTTTATAGTATTAATTAATGGCTTTCATGAAAAAGCCATCAGAAAATCATAATAATAATAATAATAATAATAACAACAATTAATAAGAATTATTATTTTAATAATATAAGTTGCATGTCAACAAATTAAACTAAACATGAAGACAATTAAAAAACTAGAGTTAAGGGAATTAATTAGCTGGCTAAAAATTCATGTAGATATTACGATTGCCTTTTGACAGCTGGAATTAAACACTTTAAATAAAAATTTTCCCAGATAATGGTGTGAAAAACTATCCAATTGGGGATGAAATATCCAATTGAGAACAAATCAACATTTCAATAAAGAAAAATGAATTAAATTAAATAAGAAATAAATAAGTACGACAAAAAGTAAATGAATATATTAGTAATATACCCTTAAAACTTACAATGGCTATTACAAGTTACAGGTCTAATTTTCATCGTAAAAATGGCTGATAATTAACCATTTCACCATAATGATTAAAAAATGGAAATAGAATGAATGCTAAAGCACAAATAATTATGCTTTTTCTCTAATAACATAGTGCAAAACAAGAACTGAAACTTAACTTAACACACTATTGTCAGTAACAGGATTTTATTGTTACATAATCCTTCATAGATCCTCTGTATGAACATAATCAATAGAAATTTTGAATATAATGCAACACACATTAGAAGGAATCACTTACAAACAGTGTACAAGTAAATAAATTTCAGATGAAACAAATTTTATTACTGTGAACACGAACTGGTTGTCATGAAAATTGTTTATAAATCATTAATTGACACTGTAATTAACCTTGACAAATCAATGTGTTACATAATATGAAAGAATTGAATTGTATCTTGAACTGCCATCGAACATAACCTTCAAAAGTTTAAAAAAATACATAATGGAAAATAATTATCATCCCAAACAAATTCTTAACAACTGTTCCAATTTAATCCCAAGCATCAATAACAACATACAATGATTGCAATACGTTGTAATATTCAAGCACTTCTGAACCGACAACTTATAAAACGGAACAACAAACAAAAACATCATTAAAATCGCAGGGAATATCAACATTTTAATACACACTTCGGAGAAAAAGAATATCATTGCTTGTAAAACTCGTAGTATGAAACCTTACCCAGAAGTAGTCAATGAAATCGACGGTCATGATGAAAGTATACCCATAACATCAAAATTATCCTTAAATGTTTATCCTTAGTTCAATCACACCTGAAAAAATATAAATATGGCGACGCCCACCGCGTTGGGGCGTTTCTGAGATCCGAGATGTGGAACAGCGACAGATTCGTTCGCCGTTTTATTAGAGATTGCTCCGGAACCGAATGAGATACTAGATAGTCAATTGTTCGAAGGATCTTCAACAGACCGTAAATAGTGGGAAATTCGAAATTTTAAACAAGAGCTAACGAACTTCGAAATTTTCCCAAACAGGTAGACCAGTTGTGGTTGTTGCTTCAATGAGACATTCTTAAATTAAATAGTGAGTGTCTGATTGAGTTCAGGTCAGCATTAAATAACAATCTTTCAAAAAGCAGGCAGAAAATTGGGCATTTTGTGAAAAACGGTAAATGGTTTAAATTCACAATACACCAAAAACAAATATAGTATTATGTATAAAATTGGTCGTCAATTATTAAATTGTTTGTTTTAGCTCAGAGGAAAGCTTAATAATAGCCAAAATGTTGACAATTTTTTTAAAAGATTGATATTTATCATTGACCTACACTCAATTAAACAATCACCATTAAAATAATGAGGTCAAGAAAATCAGCAAAAGTTTTAAATTAAGAATTAAGTGTTTGGTTTGTACACCAAAGACCTTTTTATGAGGCATTATGTTGAGTATAAATTTGTTTTTATCTTTCATTGCCATTCATTTCAAGCTGCATTTACATTGAAAATTTTCATATTTACATTTAATTTTCATAAAATCATTAGTTACATTTATGTTTAAAGCATTGAATATAATTTATGTGTTTTGATAATATCAATACACAATGTTGAATTTGAATATTTAGCAGAATGCTATTACTATAATTTGGCAAGGCGATGTAAATTGTGTTTTTCAATCAAATACTCTCAATAATTTTTTTGCAACAGAGCCTATTTTTTAATAATAGTGTGAATTTCTGTGAAAGTAAGAAGATTTTCCTGGTTTTAAAAGTTCATTTATATTCTGTAATTTAATTTTGCTACATTTTTTTTAACAATTCTCAATTAAATTATCAATATAAACTATATATGAAATGTAGTACTCATCTGTGAGTAATCGTAAATTTAGCAGTTGTCATTATCCTAAAATTACTTTACACACACTTGTATATTTGTTTGAATAAAACCATCCAACATAACTAAATTCTTAAATATTCAGCTTCGTAGTACAACAACTTTGATTGTGTGAAATGAAAATTAGAAATTACTTTATTACTGATAATTATCATTACTAATTTATAATCCTTTAAATTATACATTTTAAAAATATATGTATTAGATGACAGACTTATCCTCTGATCATATGAAAGAAGATAACATACAATCGAAATGAAATATAAACCATAAATTTTTGTTCACTTACAGTGAGGATCACACTTACAAAATTATCTTTGTACAAGGGTACCATAAGAGGAGTTTAACGAGGCCCAGATGACCTCTTGTCTCATGAAATAGTATTTGGGTAGATCGTCTAAGTTAGCAGTAAACTATCTTCTTTCATACCATTTTAATGAATTAATTTTTTTTAAATTCAATGAATATCATACTAGGTTGACAGGATGTAATAAAAGTTTCTCTGCCGAAAATTCGCCGCATTACATACCTTTTTCTCTATTCCGTAGGGAGAAAGTATAAGTGGATAAACATTGTTCCTAAATACAGTAAATTACACTCCCTAACATTTTCTGTAGTCAGAATCCACTGTGTTTGGATCCTTGATACTGCAATATTGGTTTACGACAAACCGTCCGTCCTTCTGTGATCAACACTAGTGACGTTGGAGACAGTTTTCTTCAGAATTGATATTCGATCTGTACGAACTTGAGGACCTGCAAATTTGCAACGGATATTTTCATTTGGGGGGGGGTATTTTACACGAGCCTTAACAACATTTTCAAGAACATCAAAATAAATGGCGCAGGTCTCATTTTCGTTGAATTCTCTGAAATATCGAAAATTGAAAAAGTATTTTTTTCGGCGTCAATTTGTGAACAATTGAATAAAATGGGAATATAAATTAAAGAAAATAAATTACATAATTATGAACATGAAATAGCAAATATACAAAGTGAAATAATGCTCAAAGAAGATAAATCAAATATTGGTAAAATAAGAAAGTTAATTTTAAAATTGGAATAAATTTGAATGCTTTATGACTGATTTGTTTGTTTGTTTGTTTGTCTGTCTGTTTATTTAACTTCAAAAACAGTTAAAAATTATGATTGCCATACTTTGAGGAGAAGTGTGTATATGTGCATATTTTCTCAAATTCTGGAATCCCTCATACCCACCAAGTTGAATTTTGAATGCAGATAGAAATTAGCATTTTCGGCAAGAATTCATAAGAAAAAGATTCGCTCTGGTGTAATAAAAAGGATTTGCAAATGAAAATCAACTACAGATTTGGGTTATTATCTATTATCGTGTGCTTCCTGAAGGACGGACTCGACCTCGTGCCGGGAGAACTTCCCGTAAACTCATATGTGAGTACTGTACCATAAACAGTTGCCTAGCTTACTATACATTATGACAATGAGACCGAATGAGGTTACATTCATTTTACTTTTTTTACATCAATATTGATGTGCATTCAGGAGTCCAGTTGCTTAACATTTTCTGCATCCAGCTGTCCAGGGGAAAATAATAAATTATAATAAATAATATACACCATGTCATGTTTCTACTCAGCTATCAGAGACTGGGCGATGCAAGGCAGCAAAGCAGCTTTCCTCTTCGAGTCACTCGATAGGAGAAAGAAGAAGTTAAGACATATTATAAAGCACCGAAAACGTAAACAGGATTATATTTACACAGAGAACGATATCTGCACTTTCATCTGTAATGGGTCAAGACGGCTATAGAAACTAACAAAAGTTAATAATGATATGCTTCCTGATTTAAAAAACTGACCACTGCACTCACTTAGGACCACAAATGCTTCGTGTTTAAAAAGAGAACATTTCAACATATCAAGGTTATATGATTTTATTTTATCGCCTTACAACGTACGTAGTAATGGTGTGGCGGAAATCGGCGATTTTTCGATAGAAAAACTTTTAAGGCTCCCACAGACCGGTGTAGAAGATTCGCAGCGCACGCGGAACAAAATCCACCACGTTTCCGCTGTTGCGGCGCACGCCTGCTACGCAGGTCTGAATGTGTTCATAAGTCAACATGTGATGCGAAATATTCGCTGCGGACATTCCGCGAGGGTTGCGGATGTTCCGCACCGGTCTGTGGGAGCCTTTTTTGTCGGGCCCTAGTAACGAACAAAAGTCGGCTAGTCGGGATTTAGAGCTTATAGATTAATTTAGAGCTTATCCCGTCTGGGGGGTGCCCCGCTGGAGATACTTGGTTGAGGGGAACCCCGCAAGCCGATGTGTAGTAGGTCGGCGTTCTCGCACTCCAGCTGGAATAGTTCTCTGCCACTTCCCGCGATAAAAAAAAATGCACCAAACTTACAAGACTACTGAATTTAGCAGTTGACGCGCCCGAAATCATCAATCAATAAGTAACCAACGCAATGATGAAATTACCCCTGCCCATATTCTATCCGTCAAAAAAATTGAAAGAAGAATTTCCTAACGTTTTTTTGAGAATGTTTTTTTTAAAAATAAATTGCATTAACGTCGAACAATATTAGTAAAAACTTTTTTAGTGTACATTATATTTTTAAAGGCCTATTTTTTTAGAATAGATTTTTTATTACGCAAAATCTCTATTTTGAATGTTGTAGTTTTGGAATATCAGTTTTTTGCTATTTTCGAAAATGCTGAGAGTTCCCCGGAAAAGAGATTACGCCAATTTTTTTCCTTTCTTTAATACATGCTCGAGAAAAATATAAGCAAGTATTAGTTCCAATTTTGAGAAATTAATTTTTAAAAAATGCCTTTATTTAAACCATAGTTACGCGAAGGCATCTCACATTTTCAAAAAAATGTACACGACTTTTTTTTCAAGATCTATTTAAAAAATACAGATTTTACTACCCAAAATGTCACTATCTTCAATATTGTGGTTAAAGGAAGACGCCGAAAATTTTCAAACACCGAAGCTTTTACAAGTTTCGTAAAATTAGGGATTTTGTCGAAATTTAGAACTGCTCCATTCTGTTAAGTGTTCTTTGCGTTATCCTAGGACAAGGTTTAATAAAAAATTAGAAGCAAATTTCGACAAAATTTTGAAAATGTTTAGGCTTCATGTTAAGTACCCCAAAAAACAATATAACGATTTCAAACTCAGAGAGCCACGAGTTCCTTCAAATAGGTTAAACGGCTTAGAGGCTAACGTTGACCACAGACAGGGACGAAGATATGGATAGACACTTATTACCACCAATAGATTTTTCGGTATCAAGGTCTCACAAAACGGATTCTGAATTCAGAACGAATATATATGACGTCGCGGCCCCTGGATTTTCAAACCGATATTTTCAATTTTGGGATACTCTTCATAAAGTCCCTCAGACATTTCCAAAATTTTCAAAAAAAAAAAGTAGTTACAAATTTTTGATTAAATTTGGTTGTTCAATATTGCAAAATGCTTTTAAGAGAATGGCGTAGGTGTCATTGGTATTTGGCTCAGATAAAATCTGATGTACAAAAATGTCATTAAAGAAGGTCATGTACATATTTTGTCAAAGTTAATAGTTTTTTCGTAGTTTACGCTTCAAATTTTCGATTCCCCCCCAAAACGTTCCAAAATTAAAAAACAATTCTTCACATATGTAATAAGGAACGGTTAAAAATATGGTGCTAGTCTAATTTTCTGATATTGCTCTTTTTTTCGTAAATTACAAAAAAACAAATTTAAATGTACAAATTTGAAGATTGAGATTTTTGTTTCAAACAAAGTCTGCTGTACAAAAGTATCTCTTTAAAAAATGTCACGTTCAATATTTTGAAAAAACGAATAGCTTCGCATAATTTGCGTTTGAAATTTTGGAAAAAAATTCTTCTCGAAAACCGCCCATATTTTTTCTTTACATTTTCTTCATATTTACGTAATAAGGGACGGTAAGAAATATTGTGCAAGTCCCATTTTCGGGTAGTGCTCGTTTTTTTCGAAAATTGTAAAAAAAAAATTCAAAACTACAAAATTGAAGATTTTTTGCCCCAGACAAGTTTATTGTAGATAATTTGAAATTTAAATAAATAAATAATAAATAAATAAA